AAAATGAAATTATTTAGACACTTAATATCTGTTTTTTTTTTTCCATTTTTGGGAATTTTCTGAAATTTTCCTTGACTTTTTTTGAAGTGCCGGAAACTGCAGAATTCATCCGGAAGTCAGAAGGAATACGGCGGAATAACCGGATATTGACCGACACCGGAGAATTTTTTTCCTTTTCTTTTCCTTTTTTTTTTTTAATTTAAATTTTATTTTTATTTTTTAATTTTTTGGGATGAGCTTTCTTCGGTCGGCCCGACCCGATTCTTTTTTATTTAGCCAACAAAAAGGGAGATTAAAATAAACATAGGCCAGAGTCATTTAAGGCCTAAAAGGCCCAATGCCAAATATCCTTTTTCTTTTAGGCAAAAAAACGGCCTGGGTCCACGGAATTTTTTTAATTTATTAAATAAGTTAATAAATGTAATTGATTTTTTTTTATTAATTACATTAATTGATTTTAATTGGCATTAATTAAAACCTTGATTAATTAAGTCTTTTTTTTAAAAAAATTCTCTTATAGTAATTTGGTGAGAGTTTCACTCTTTATTTAAGTGGAATCCTAATTTTATGTCTCACAAAAATGAAAACTTAATTACCAAATTTATAATAATAAGTGCATCATGACATTTTGAAAAGCCTACACATATGCCTCAAAAATGTTAGTAAAAAAAATTAGACTAAATCTCTCTTTTCTTTTATTTTTTTCCATTTCTTTTTTCTTTCGGTAGCAGAATCTTATTCTACCATTAAAGTTCTGACCTAACAAACTATTGGTTCGAGAGAAAAAAATTTAATTTCATTTAAATAAGATATAAGTTAAAGTTGAGGAAATAAACATTGTGAGAGTTTCTCTTATGAATATAACATAAATCGATTTTTGATTAATTAAAATCTAATATAATTAAAGTTAATGCCAAAACATTACAGTTGTGAACACCAATTGACCTACGAAATCAAATAAAGTGAACTGTGAGAGTTTCTCTTATGAATCTAACATAAATCGATTTTGGATTAATTAAAATCTAATATAATTATTAAATACTGAGAAGTTAATACCAAAACATTAAGGGCTTATTTGGTATAGTAGTTAAAATTCAGTGGATAGCAGATAACGGATAGCGGATAGCAGTAACAGTAGCAGGTGACAGTTAGCGAATAACGAATGGTGGATAGCATATATTCAAACCAAAACCGGTCCGTATATATATTCATACCTAATTTAATTTAACTTTAGGATTAAAAATCCCTCGGAGTTCCTATATTTGGACCGATACCGGTCCATATAACATTATACGAATCGGTATCGGTCCGTATATACACCTGAACAGCAGCTTTTTATTTTTTTTGTTATTTTGTGCTTAAGTCGTTCTACTCTCGTTTTAAACCGTAACATTCCGAATGTTTACAAGCCAAAGTGGTTAACCTTAAGAAAAAAAATGAATTTTATTTGCTTGTGACTCCGAAAGAGCATTACGTAACATTATCTCTAATAACCTGAAACTTATACATTCGTGGTTTTGCAACGATATTATTCCGTACCATTGTAAGATAATTTTAGGTAGACAATCGATGCTTTCGTGGTTCTAAGGGATTGTAGGGTCGATGTACATGCAATTAGTTTTCGCAGGAATGGATTGAGGACACGAGAAGATGGTGATGTCCTTAAATGAAAAAAATAAAAATGTGCACTGTAGATTTTTTCCCAACATATTTAGATCAAAATCGGTTCGAATATGTTAATGTGATCCCTTGTAGGCTTTAATACATATACGGACCGAAATCGGTCCGTAATTAATTTATGCGCCAAATTTTTACCATAAATTTGAATCTTTCTGATTGTGCGCTAATTTATTTATATTCGAACTGATTTTGGTCCGAATATAATTAATGCGCCAAAAATTTTCCCAAAAAAATTGAAATTTTTTGGTGAGGTGCGCCAATAAGAATTATACGGACTGAAAACGGTCGGTATAAGCCTTATATATATCACCACTTCTCTTCCTTTTCCTTATTTTCTCTTCTTCCTCTCTTTCTTTTCCTTTCTTCCTCTCTTTCTTTTCTCTTCTGCCTCTCGTCTCCTTCTTCTTTTTCTTACTTTTTTTTTTCTACTTCCTTTTTTTTGTCATTTCCTCTCTTCTTTTCTCTCTTCCCTTTTCTTTCTCATTTCCTTCTATTTCCTTTTCTTTCTTCATCTTTTCTTTCCTTTTTTTTTTTCTTTTTTTTTCTGTTTTCTCATATGTATTTTTAAAATTTTTTTTGTTGTCTGTTTGTATTGGTTTATTTTTATTTTTTATAATATGTTTATATTTCATTAACTAACTTTTGTTTCTTTTTTTTTTTTTTGTAGGTTACATTTGGTGAACTTTAAAATTTTTCATATATATATGTTTATTTTATTACATTTTTCAATTTTCTTTTATATTTATATA